CTAACAATTTCAATTGATTTTTAAATATGAGATAATTGAGTTTATAATGCTTTTCTATAACTATGTCAAGAATAATTATTTTTTTAATAATAATCAAATTAATTGCATGAATTAATATGGAGATTTGAGAAAAGATAATTGATGTTGATGTGTATAGAGGAGGTTTCCATTCAACTGAATGTGAATTTTTTTCCCATTAATTTACTTTTACATGAATGTTTTACAAAAAAAATCATTGAACTATTGATCTACTCTCCAATTTTTTTAAACGCACTGAAATCCCTTCAAATATATATATATATATATATATATATATATATATATATATATATATATATATATATATATATATATATATATATATATATATATATATATATATATATATATATATATATATATATATATATATATATATATATATATATATATATATATATATATATATATATATATATATATATATATATATATATATATATATATATATATATATATATATATATATATATATATATATAAAAGAGAGAGAGAGAGAGGAGGAGAGATAGGTCCCTTGAAGAACATTAGGGGAAAAAAATACAAGTTGTTTTATGGATTTTAATACAAAAACATTCAATCTTGAGTTCTTAAATGATGCTTTAAGCCATTGAAAAATCTTTGTTCTTTCCTCCTTTCCACTCTTTAGCTTTAGAAAGTTTGACTTTTTAAACATTATTCCAATTTCAAGCTTAATCCTTACATGCAAGTAGGATTATAAAAAAGAAAATCTCTAGGCCCAGTAAAACCTTCAAATCAAAATTTAGAATAACAAATGCTAAATAAATATTTAAAAATTTCAGTAAATTTTGTTTAGAAAAATATAATAGCTCAATTCTTTAATGAATGATTCGGTTTAGAAAAAACCGGTTTCTAACATTTTAATACGATTCTGAACTTTAAATTGATATTAAATTAATAATTTTAGCTTGATTCGATTCAATTTTAGATAAATTGAAATAGACGATGTAATTCAAGTAATGTTTTGCTATGATTCAATTCAATTTTCTTATTTAATTGTATTATCAACCGTTCTACATGTAAGTCATCTGCCCCATTGTCCTCTCTATATTCTACCTTTTTTTTATAGAATTTCTTATGGCACCCTATATACTTTTAATGCACCATGTGAAATTTCATAACTGTTCCCTGTTTTTGGAGATATATCTTTGGACGCATCCAAACGTAAGTGAACATTGAAATATTTCGCAGATATATCTCTAGAACATTTTAGAGCATAAGTCGCATCAGACTCTTCTCCTTCCTCATTTGACAGTTTTCTTCAATATACAACTTCAACACTCTTCTCAATACAACTCTAAACCAAAACAAAATTCATCAAACAAGAGTATAAAGAACTCAAAGGTACATCAAAGATCATCTATAATATTTGAAACAACATCTGAATCATTAATTTCGAGTAAGTTTTTTCGAGTTTTAGATAAATTTTGAGTTTTTGTGTAAATGTGTAGAAATCAATGATTAGGGTTAGAAATGTGTAGGAATCACTTGTAACATAGTTTAGACTTAGTGTATAACTTGTTTGTTGGCTGAAAATAGCGATCAAATCATGTTTTTTTCAAACTTGTAAGAGGTATATTCGCCATTGACGCGGCCTCTATGTTACAGAACAATCCGGAGATGCATCTCCAGAATTGTTTAGCGTTTCATATACTTTAGAAAATACCGGAGATGCATCTCCGGAATTGTTCAAAGTTTTAGTTTAACGGTGCTTTCGGAGATGCATCTCTGAAATTGTTCAACGTTATAGTTAAATGGTGTTTCCGAAGATGCATCTCCGGAATTTTCTGCAGTTTTTTTTTTCTTGTTTGTGTGTGTTGTTTGCGTTCACTAATAACATGTATTAGTTTACCTTACAGGCATGATGGCTGACAGAGTTGATAAACTGAGATATGGTCGGGTTGCTCAGCACACATCTGTTCGGTGGGAGCGGAGCCAACAGGTTCTGGAGGCTCTAAATACCTCTAGTGAGGCAAAGATGTCTACTTCTGGAGCTCGTGCTTCACCTCAAGCCATTCAACCTTCTTCTTCTTCTCGTAGAAGACGTGATTCACTATCTGACGTGTCACTTCCTCCATCCTCTTGCAGGCGTCAGGATTCACTGGTGCCACCTCCTACAGATAATGACACCGATCGAGACCAACCTCCTGCTGATGATGCTGCTGATCCACTGCCACCTCCAGAGGTGAGGCTATTGAGGATGTCAAGCTAGAGGGTTTTGGAGGAGGTCCATCTGATTTGTCCTTACTTCCTCTGTATCCAGACCATACTGCCAGACATATCTGGGACGGAGAGGTAGCATTAGTTGAATTATTTATTTATTTTTTGTGTTAATTTTAATTGCTGACATTGATTATTATTAACATTGATTATTTGTGGCAAATTTCAGCAGCATGATCCCCATAAATTTCTTAACCATGGGAGAAAGATTGTTGCATTGCTTCAGCAGGAGGAGGATTGGTTTCAGTCGGTTATGTTATTATCTGGCCTGAAGGACCTATACATGATAGGTTACACTCCGGTCAACCACGTGATGCTTAACGCATTCCTGGAGAGATGACATTATGAGACCTCTTCATTTCATCTCTCGCATGGTGAGATGTCTATCACACTGGACGATATCTTGTGTTTTTTACATCTTCCGATCAGGGGAAGATTCCTCGATCATTGGAGGATGACCAAAGACAAGGCAGTCAAGATGATGGTAGAATATCTGGGGGATGATCTAGAGAAGGCGATGGAGGAGGTGGATAGGACCAGGAGTGCTCATGCTAGGTTTGAGTTCTTGAAGAAGGTATATACAGATGAGATCCTGAGATCACAGGCGGCTACATGTGATGATGAGTAGAAGGCGGTACACAAGCCTCGTGCTTTGAGGGCATACTTTCTATTTTTTATTGGCACTTGCATTTTTGTGGACATGAGTGCCACTTGTACTGACGTTGCATACCTCCGGTACTTCTTGAATCTCACTCCAATCCATGAGTACAACTGGGGCGTGACTTGCCTGACCTATCTTTATTCAAAGTTGAGAGAGGGATGTTGGTGGAAGACGAAGCAGGTCACAGGCAGCGTGACACTATTGGTGGTAATATTCTTGATCCTTGAAATTTTTTTTTGTCATTTTCATTTCATATTTGCGAAACCATTGTCGATGATTCGTTTGTTCCAAAAAATAATTTCCAGACTTGGATCCTCCAGCACTTTCCACGCATCGTTGGTTGGGCGAGTGCGGATGATTACACTGAGGATATGTCGTGTGCTTGTGCTTTTATCCCGTTTAGATGGAATCAGACGATCGAGCCTTTCAGAGTCTATCTTAAGCATTTGGATGTTGAGGACATGCATTTCAACAGCTACATGAATCTCCGTCAGATACAACCATTTGACGAGATAGTAATATATTATGGATAATTTTACTTGGTGCCTAAGAACTACCTAGGGTGCAATGAGAAATTCTCTCTTTTTTTAGTCCACTCATTTGTGTACGGATACATATATAAAATATTTTTATTAAAAGAACTATTATAAAAACTTTTTAACAAAAAAATTCAAATAAAAAATCATTTTATTACAAAACATAATTTTAAATATTTAATCATTTCCTTATAACTATTTTTGTTTATCAAAATTTTAAAAAATTATTTAAATTTAAAGCTATTTTGAATAAATTTTATAAAATTCATTATATATATTTCTTTTAAACCCTAAACCCTAAACCAAAATTATGTAATTTTAATTATTTTTTAATTTTAATGATAGATATTTAAGTCACTAATGCCAAAAAAAACCTATAAAAATTATTATTAAGAATACAAAGAAGAAATCTAATTTTTAAAAATTAAAACAATTGGAGCCAATAACAATCGTGATTTTAAAAAGATAGAAATATTAGTTATATCTCCATTAAATGTGATAAAATTGATTTGAATTAATTAATTATATAAAATTGATTTGAATTAATTAATTATATAAAATTGATTTGGTTTAAAAGTGAGTGAAAAATAATATATTATAATTTTTGTTTAGTAGATTTAAATAAAAGTGAATTTATATCGAGAAGTGCACATTTAAATTTGAAAACTACAAATCCTAATTTTATTTATAATGAAAAGTGCACATTTAAATTTGAAAACTACAAATCCTAATTTCAACTAGAATAAATTCTAAAACAAAATTAATTCTACTTTAGATAAATCAAACATATCAAAATCAATTATTCTTCTAGAATCCCACACTATATTGTTGATATCACCATCGCTAATTAAAAAAAATCCCAATGTTTTTATCGAGTAACATTGATCATCATTTGAGTTTTAGAACATTATCAAATACTTATCTCGAGGAGAATTTATCATTTGTCATAGTTATTACACAAGTTTTAAGTTATTTTGAACATGATGTGCATGTTTGAGTTCAAAATTAGAGCATCCATAGTTTCCTAAAAACTAGTAAACAGAGCTTCTGCATATACGCAAAAAATCAGCAAAAAAATGCACGATTTTGGGCTAAAGCACCTCAAGTCAACACCGCCAAACACACTCCAAATGACATAAAAAAAGAGTTTATTCAGCAAGCAGATTATTTCTTTTCAAGCAAATGATGTCAAACAGCATTGTCAAAATAAGGCAAAAATAAGCACTCAAAACCATTGTAGCAGCACATACACCTCTAAAGGTGTATCTGTCATTGTGCCGGTGTAGGTGTTTGAAACCGACACAGACAATTGTGATTCATTGTTATCAAATATTACTAGTGTTGACATATTCATTGTTATCAAATATTACTAGTGTTGACATATGAGTTTCAGTGTCGTGTTTGATTTCTGTGCTTCTTAGCTCAAAATATCTATACCTATAACATTTCACCTTTCAATATGGCCACTACACTAGAATGAAACCTTATATCCCCCAAATTTGTTATTATAAACCAAAACAACCTCATCTAGAAACCACAGCAAAAACCAATCCAGCAGACAAACCAACAACACAAACAAAAGAAACCCCTCTAACCCTAACAAACAAAACATTCAACTGCTTAGCAACCTGAAGCGTCAGTGTCAGAATCTGCAACCTACCTTGTTCCTCCATCTTCTTGAAAAACCGCATTGGCTTCAACGATTGACGCAGCATAAACGCCAGAGAAAAAGGAAACGCAAAAGCCAACAAGCTCTGCACGGAAACCTCAGTGATAGGTGAAGATCTAGTCACGTATGTGATCCAACCTCCAACGCCAAGCTGAACGAGGCCCATTAACGCGACAACCCTGCTTAATCCGTATATGTTCTTCATCATTGTTTCTAGAATTTCTCGTGTCTCGTTGGCGAGGGGGGAGAGATCGCGTTCTACTGTTGGTCCTTCGATTTCTTGGTGTTTGAAGTTTGGGTTTTCGCTTGGGTATGGACTTGGGTTTGGGTTTGGGTTTGGGTTTGGGGCTTTATCAGAATCTGATGATGATGATGGGTCGTTGGTTGAGAAAAAGATGGGTTTGGGGTAAAAGTTTGAAACTTTGTGTGATGAGAATGGAGTGAGATTGAAATGGGAAATGGGTTTTGGAGGGGCTGTTGTGGATTGGGAGAAGAAGTGTTGAAAGATGAAAAAAGAAGATGGGTTGTGGGTTAAGGGTTCGAAGATTGGAGATTGAGGGTTTGGTGGAGATGATGATGGAGGTGGAAAATAAGAGGGTTTTAGGATGGAAGAAGTTAATCTTAACCTTCTTGAAATGATGGCAGCCATTGGAGTAGTATGATCTCAGAGAGAGAGAGAGAGAGAGAGAGAGAGAGAATATTGTGTTCAGCAATGTGTACGCAGAAGGTGTCTTGTTTGGAGATTGGTTTTTCATTTTGATGTGAGAGGTTAGTCTAGCAAAAAGGCCAAAGCCCATATAGTTATTTTACACCAAAACTAGAACACTAGTTAATGTTTGAAAAATTCTAACTCATACCCCTATACATGTATACATAACTTCAAAACATTGATTTTAATTCTTTTGTGAACTTTAATTTTTATATTTTAGTTTTTTATTTGCAATTTTAAATTATTAGGTTCTAGTCTAAGTTCATTTCACATAAAAAATTTGGTTTGTATTTTTATTTTATTTTTTAAAATTCTATTTCTCATAGATAAAGAGATGTTTTTACTATACAATAAAGATTAATCATACACTTTCGATCATTATTATAATTAATGCGATCATCAACATAAATTCAATGTTCAAGAGCAATGCAAATAATATAAAAATATAAAATCAACTAAGATAAGATAACTAATATAAAAGTTCAACACGAGATAAGTCTAATGTTTGAAATAAATGTGTAAACATGAGACCATTTAGATCAACTAGAAAATATTTTACCATGACGTAGCTAGAGCTGTTAAATAAGCCTAATATTTAAAGGCTCTTATTTTTTTCCCAATATATCATGCCCCCTACTAATAAGATTTTTTAGGCTCTATAGTTTTAGGCCCCTCAATTATTATGTTATTTTTGGGGCTTTTTAATGGGGTCTTATTTTATTCAAAATATTTCACGGTATACTGCATATTTTTCAAATTAATTCATTTTTCATTACAAACTCTACCGTTAACAGATTCTTTCACATTGCACTGCCGTCCAGCTTGTTGTGTCGCCGCCATTTGCGCCACCGTCTAGCTTGTTGTGCCGCCGCCATCTTCTTTTCACGTTGTTGTTCTATTTTTAAGGTACTCATCTTTCGTAATCTCTCTTTATGAACTAGATTTATTTGTGAAAATGCCTCGAGGAAATCCATAGATGTTATTTTGCGTTTAATTAATGTATCTCTTACGCTCTATCTTGTGAAGATGTATAAATTGAGATAATTTTTTTTTGGTTATGTTGTAATGCTATTGTATTATCTGTTAGTTGTTTTAAGAGTGTCTACTCATATCAATATGCTCTATCAAATGTGTTAGACGATGATGCAGATTTAGAAGAGGGGTTGAATAGATCGCTTGTTTAAAGCATAGTCGGCGCTACCAAACATTGGGTTTTAAAAATGTTTAAGACGGAAGCGACCGAGGAACTATATTTGTCTAAAATGAACCTTTACCGAAAAAACCGGATATGCGTAAAGCCTATGGAATTCGATAAAACGAGATTTGAGAATCAATAATTTGATCACACTTCAATCTGATTTTGTTCACTATAAGGTGTGACTAGTTCCAATGCTTTTAAAATAGAGACAATTTGAAAAGAGAGCACAATAGTTTTTAGTTCACACAATTGATTAAACACTTGGAGTGCAAGGCACTACAAGTGAATTCTATTTTGATAGTAAAGTGCTCAAGTGTTCTATTACAATCAAGGATTGTAACAAGCTTAAAAATAATTCAGCACTACTCAAATCAGAATTTGATTGACACAATTGTTTGCACTTAAAAACTCAGAATTTAAGCAATATAAACGTAAAGAAAAAAGACAACGATTTGTTGAGGCAGTTCTCCCGTCGTCCTCGCTCGGGGTACGTCTGTCCTCAATTCTAACAATAGAATTGAGACATGTATATAGATAGATATAACATGTTGGTCAATGTTTATACAAGAAGCAAATAGAGATTAAACGATCAAACACAATTTATTGATGTAAAGCTTATTTCTTCTTGCCCATTGATTCAAGTTGAATCAAGTCCTTCGAACGCGGTGAGTAAACCTCCGACTACGGCACGCCCTTTGAACAACCTCACGGTCTTCAAATCTTGTCCGGCTGATTTCAGTCACCCACGTGTCGAACCCGAATCTTCCACTCACAATCCTCCGTTTACCGCTACTAAACCAACATAACCTCCCGCTCTTCGATTACCTTCGCTCGGCTGAATCTGTGATGGACCACTTCGTGCAAAAAACCCCAAAATCCAAGATTCTTGGAGGACAAAACCCTAACGGTTTTATTCAAGAAAAACCTACTGATTACTCAACCCAAATCAGATTACACCAATCCTAATTTGGACGTTATCACCTTGAACACGCAGAATGTACAACAAAAATGATTATGTGTAGTTGTTATGAAAATGCTATGAAGAGGATGAAGATGATGAGAACAAGTCAGTATGTTATTTTCACTTTTCTTGTTTTTCTCAGTTGTGAAAGGAAGAGTGCAACTCACTTTATATACAAGACATAACTGACTTAACAAACATAACAAACACCAAAACTGTTTCACATAACATAATTTTGACTAACCATCAGCGAGCGGTCGACCTATGTAGAAGGAAGGTCGACTTGAGCTTACCCATATTCCTGATTGAGCAAAAAATAGAACCTTGCATAGACCGGAGCAGGTCATGCATCGACGCAAAGCATGCAAATTTAGGCAAATACAAATGGTCACAGTATGAGTCGACCAGAGGGTTGACGCGAGCCCTCCTGAGAGTAGTTCATTAAAAAAACTATCTGTATGAGTCGACCGGAGCTAGCTTTGAGTCGACTCAAAGCCTTGAAATAGAAAAAAAATGCCTATTTTCATGTATCAAGACACTTTTGATGAACTCTATAACATGGTAAGCTTGACTAGCTTGACCAACCCTACATGAAACCTATATTTTGCCATTTCTATATGCATCAATCATGTTTTTAACGAGTGTTTGACTTACAAGGGACAAGACATGCAAATGTGACACGATGATACCGTCCAAAGTACATTTTTCTATCAATCTAAGTTTTGACATCATTGAAACAAGTGTAGCTACCTATGAGGATTGCCCTCACATACTCCCCCCTTTTGATGATGGCAAAACGATAAAAACTTTGATGTACGATGCATTATATCATCCTCCCCCTTGCTTGATGCCTTCGTCTATACACAATCTGCATGAATAATAATTCTTCACATATGATGTTTCTGCTTGATATGCTTCTTCCCCTTTGACAACATCAAAAAGAAAGAAATAACCTGTCAATGAATTATATAAAAGTAGAGAGATCAACAAGTTCTAGACACTTGCAACAGGTTATACATTAACACACATTCACATATAATGTAGTTAATGAAATCATATAAATTGGATAAATAGAGCAACGCGTAATAGAACAACAATAATAATCGTTATTTCAGTCATGAACAATAAACATGTCTTCAAACACAAATAAGTACATGAACCATTCAACAAGAAATATTAATGAACATATGATGACATAAGATGCAAAATGCAATATGCAAGACATCTTCAAGGTCTCCTCACCCTAAAATGGTGGCCACGTTCTCGAGAGGGATACTCCAGAAGCAGTTGTGCATCAGCTCTTTCCGTGTACTCCAATACCACTCTATTGAGTGTGTTGAAGCTGGTGGTAAGAGCCCTATGTTGACCTACTGCTGTTTCAACAATCCCATCTATCCTCCTCATTACACCTGATGAAAAAACATTAAAGTTTTCCGTGTGAGCTTGAAATTGGCTCTGCAGTTGAGAGAACCGCTCATCCTGGATAGTCATGAACGAATGTTGCTCAAGCTGCATTATCCTCATCATGTTGAGGAGTTCATCAGTATGTTGTTGCAGATGCGGGGATGGTTGAGGCACATATCTCCATTCAGGAGTGCCTTAATGATCCCAATTCTGTTGTGGCATGTAGTTGGCACCTAACGATGTCCAACCCTTATATTTCCAGGCACCCCTCCCTTGGTCATCCTCATGATCCAAGTGAGGTGATTGGTTTATCCACCCACTATCATATTAATCATCAGTCTCCATAGGATGTCCACCTACATGTTCTTCTTCTTCTTCTTCTCCTTCCTCAATCTGGTCATCACTTTCATCTGATTCTTCCAACTGGGAGGTAGTCGCCTTGACAATGAATCTATAACGGCTTTTTGTTCGATCCCATATATAACCCATCATGGTGAGAGTCTTTTGACAAAACTCTTAATTTGAGGTCAGTGATTTGTAAGGGATCCCTTGAACAGTAATGTTGGCATTGTTGAGAATTGATTGGATAAAGGACCCGTATGATAGAGCGGTCCCTCTACCAGAATCCTTCAGCGAATAAATCCTACTTGCGATGTAGTGAGGCCAACTGATATTAATCTTTTTCTTCAGAATATAGATCAAGTGTACCTCATCTTGATCAACTCGAGAGTAGCTGCCTTTCTTCGGTCGCAGAATGTGCGCCACAATCTATTGTAGTATTCTATCCACCGGCTTCAATTTTCCCGTTGTGACTGTCTTTGGAAAGAGGTCGCTTGCTACAATATCAACACCATATGGTTTCTTCAACATGGATTTCAAAGCTTCTTTGAACTCGTAGCCTATGATATGACGAGCATACGTGGCCTTAGTAATGGGCTCAGCGGATATCGGTGACATGTCAAACAAATTTTTCCACACCAAGTCATCCACACAGACCTTGGTATTGCCCAATTTCGTGTTGAACTCAAACCCTTGAACTTTCCCTTGAAGACCTGTGTAAAAGATCCTCACTAGATCTTCGTTGTACTTAATATCACACTCCAAAACGTTGTTGAAGCCTTGAGCATCCAGAAGATCAATCACTTTCGGAATGTGCATACATTCAACAACCTTTCGATAGTAAGCATGTTTCTTAACCACAGATCGTTTGCTGAAATTATTTTCATAAATTTTCAAAAACTCAGGGGGTAATAGAGATACAACAGTTATCGGTAAATTTCATGTTGATGGACCTGCTTGAGAAGATGATGCTCTGGTGGTTCTCTTTCCAATTATCCTTTTGGTAGACATTGTTGATTTCTTGTGTGGAGATGAAGA